GGTGTTAATGTTGCAGTTTAAAAACTGTAGTGTAAAGCACCCTTCTGGCAAGACAGTGATGGAGTGAATGATGGTGAAAGTTTTTCTTTTTCGGGCCACCCTGCCTTGGTGGGAATCGGCCAGTGTGATAATAAAAATAATAATAAAAATAAATAAAATATATATATATATACATATACATATATATATATATATATATATATATATATATATATATATATATATATATATATATATATATATATATATATATATATATATATATATATATATATGTCGTGCCGAATATGTAAAACTGGTCAATTAGCAAGAACTCATTTAAAATTAAGTCCTTTCTAAAATTTTCTCTTATACGTTTAAAGATATATATTTTTTTCATTAATGTTGATGTAAAAATTTATAATTTTCCACCAAAAGAATCTTAGAAAACTTATCTAACCTTATTATAACAAGTGCAATTTATTTTAGCCTAACCCAACTAAATATATTTTAGATTTGTTTACAGTAATTTAATACTAAACAAACACAATGAAATATATTTTTTTCTTTAGGTTCAGAATAAATTTGACGAAATTATTGCATACACAAATTTTCACTTGTCCTATATGGCAAGATGACCGTTGCTATTTAAGCCAAGATCGCAAGTTCTGCCTATTCGGCACGACATATATATATATATATATATATATATATATATATATATATATATATATATATATATATATATATATATATATATATATATATATATATATATATATATATATATATATATATATATATATATATATATGTATATATAAACCTTCATATAAATTGCAAAAGCCTTCAAAGTTGAAACATATTATTGGTATGGTTACTATGGATGATCAAAGAGTTTCATCTCTATTAACGTACAATTAAAAATATTTTTAAGCGGTAGTAAATACTGCAGAAGACTGAGTGCAAGTACCACTAAACATGACGTTAAGAAATCCCGAGCCTTGTGTGAGAGTGATAATACACTCGGTCACACGTGCAAGAAGAATAACATCAACGATGCACTCGGTCACACGTGCAAGAAGAATAACATCAACGATACACTCGGTCACACGTGCAAGAAGAATAACATCAACGATGCACTCGGTAACACGTGCAAGAAGAATAACATCAACGATGCACTCGGTAACACGTGCAAGAAGAATAACATCAACGATACACTCGGTCACACGTGCAAGAAGAATAACATCAACGATACACTCGGTCACACGTGCAAGAAGAATAACATCAACGATGCACTCGGTCACACGTGCAAGAAGAATAACATCAACGATGCACTCGGTCACACGTGCAAGAAGAATAACATCAACGATGCACTCGGTCACACGTGCAAGAAGAATAACATCAACGATGCACTCGGTCACACGTGCAAGAAGAATAACATCAACGATGCACTCGGTCACACGTGCAAGAAGAATAACATCAACGATGCACTCGGTCACACGTGCAAGAAGAATAACATCAACGATGCACTCGGTCACACGTGCAAGAAGAATAACATCAACGATACACTCGGTCACACGTGCAAGAAGAATAACATCAACGATACACTCGGTCACACGTGCAAGAAGAATAACATCAACGATGCACTCGGTCACACGTGCAAGAAGAATAACATCAACGATGCACTCGGTCACACGTGCAAGAAGAATAACATCAACGATGCACTCGGTCACACGTGCAAGAAGAATAACATCAACGATGCACTCGGTCACACGTGCAAGAAGAATAACATCAACGATACACTCGGTCACACGTGCAAGAAGAATAACATCAACGATACACTCGGTCACACGTGCAAGAAGAATAACATCAACGATGCACTCGGTCACACGTGCAAGAAGAATAACATCAACGATGCACTCGGTAACACGTGCAAGAAGAATAACATCAACGATGCACTCGGTAACACGTGCAAGAAGAATAACATCAACGATGCACTCGGTCACACGTGCAAGAAGAATAACATCAACGATGCACTCGGTAACACGTGCAAGAAGAATAACATCAACGATGCACTCGGTCACACGTGCAAGAAGAATAACATCAACGATGCACTCGGTAACACGTGCAAGAAGAATAACATCAACGATGCACTCGGTAACACGTGCAAGAAGAATAACATCAACGATGCACTCGGTAACACGTGCAAGAAGAATAACATCAACGATGCACTCGGTAACACGTGCAAGAAGAATAACATCAACGATGCACTCGGTAACACGTGCAAGAAGAATAACATCAACGATGCACTCGGTAACACGTGCAAGAAGAATAACATCAACGATGCACTCGGTCACACGTGCAAGAAGAATAACATCAACGATGCACTCGGTAACACGTGCAAGAAGAATAACATCAACGATGCACTCGGTAACACGTGCAAGAAGAATAACATCAACGATGCACTCGGTAACACGTGCAAGAAGAATAACATCAACGATGCACTCGGTCACACGTGCAAGAAGAATAACATCAACGATGCACTCGGTCACACGTGCAAGAAGAATAACATCAACGATGCACTCGGTAATACGTGCAAGAAGAATAACATCAACGATACACTCGGTCACACGTGCAAGAAATCTTCCTGAAGGTACCAGGAGTCACTGGTGTCAGATGGTATTGTAAAGTGTGCGCATATTTGAATTTTCCATGAAAATCCATTTCTCGAGAGTCATGTCCATTAAATGGAAACCGAGGGCAATATTTAGGTGGTCGGATTCAAAAGTGTTGAAATGTCGCTTAAATGGTCGTAAAACCGCTTAAGGGAAGACACTTATAGCTGTTAAAAGGCAAGTTGGCTCATTACTCTGCCCAGACTTGTAAGAAGGAAAAAAGAACATGATATGAAGGTTGAGTCAGCAAACATGTGTTATACTTAATGGAAGGAAATGACGATGAAGTTGTGGAATGAACAGTTTGGAGTGATCTGAGTTAGTGAGATATTTCTAGCAGAATTCACAAGAAAGTTCACTCGCTAAAAGACTACAGAGAGCTGGATATTTTTACGGGAAATTGTGCAAAACCTCAGATGATTACAGTTAATTACAGGTGAAGTGGTAACAGTTAATGAATGTATCTCTTGTACTAATAAAAGAACCACAATAGTACATTGAACACTGGCTACTACCAGGTTGAATAGTCACGCTGGCTACTACCAGGTTGAATAGTCACGCTGGCTACTACCAAGCAGAATAGTCACGCTGGCTACTACCAAGTTGAATAGTCACGCTGGCTACTACCAAGCAGAATAGTCACGCTGGCTACTACCAGGTTGAATAGTCACGCTGGCTACTACCAAGCAGAATAGTCACGCTGGCTACTACCAGGCAGAATAGTCATGCTGGCTATTACCAGGTAGAATAGTCACGCTGGCTACTGCCAGGCAGAATAGTCACGCTGGCTACTACCAAGCAGAATAGTCATGCTGGCTACTACCAGGCAGAATAGTCACGCTGGCTACTGCCAAGCAGAATAGTCATGCTGGCTACTACCAGGCAGAATAGTCACGCTGGCTACTGCCAAGCAGAATAGTCATGCTGGCTACTACCAGGAAAAATAGTCATGCTGGCTATTACCAGGCAGGATAGTCACGCTGGCTACTACCAGGCAAAATAGTCATGCTGGCTACTACCAGGCAGAATGGTCACGTTGGCTACTACCAGGCAGAATAGTCACGCTGGCTACTACCAAGCAGAATGGTCACGCTGGCACCCACACACAACTACACAAAAAATACTGACTACATGATAACAAGGAAAAATACTGACCACTGCACGGAATCTAGAGAATTGCTGACCACTACACGGAACCTAAGGAATTACTGACCCCTACACGCAACCTAACGAATTAGTGACCACTACACGGAACTTAGGGAATTACTGACCACTGTTTCAGAACATAAGGAATTACTTACCACTGCACGAAAACTAAGGAGTTACTAATCACTACACGGAATGTAGAGAATTACTGAAAACTACACAGAACATGAGGAATTACTTACCACTGCATGGAACCTAAGGAGTTACTAACCACTACACGGAACTTAAGGTATTACTGACCGCTACATGGAACCTAGGGAAAATTACCGACCACTACAAGGAACCTAAAGAATTCCTGACCAATACAGAGAACCTAGGGAATTACTGGCCACTACACGGAACTTAGGGAATTACTGGCCACTACACAGAACCTAGGGAAAATTACTGACCACAACACCGACAAGAACGTAATATCAGTCCTCATGTCACATGTTATCGGGGAAATAATTCCACCGAGAGGCATTGTAGCTGAAGAAACTGGCTGTCTTCCTCTCTCTCTCTTTCACCGATAATCCAATAATCAATAGTGTGTGTACGACGGCTTAAAAAATCCACCAGTACCGGGTTTGATGTTGCCTCAAGTCTCAGCCCACTAACGCTACCGACAAAAGCTTTGTTTTATTGTTTTCGAGTGGAGTTGACTTAATATTTTCAAGTTCAGACGGACGGTTGCCAGTTCTGTTTGTAGACTTTATCGGTGTAAGGGAGGATTAATACATATATCAGAAGTGAGAAAAATAATGTTTGATGATGATGATGATGATAATAATAATAATAATAATAATAATAATAATAATAATAATGGAAGTATGATGATAATAGATGTGTGATAATCCTGGCGATGATATGGTGATATGAGTTTGTTTAATGAAAATCCTTCATTAAGTTAAGCAGAATGACGCTTCCCACAGGTACTGTTGTACGTCATGTCATGGTAATGGCAAACAGTAACGATCAATAGATGATTAAGACACATGTTAATATTAGGACATCTTTACTGTCGATAATAAAGACATCCAACTGTTGTACACACGTCTTAATCATCCTGTGTTGTTTATATTAATAACACATGTGTCTAGTACGGAATTTATCCCATGGATATCCACTCCATGATAAGAAATATATATGTTTTTGCAGGCTTCACTGCCTACCAGGGAGAGTGACCCACTGCTGCTGCTTGGACGGTCAATGGTGGCACCTACGCCCACTGCTAGCGCCTCGCCGCCCAAGGCTTACCCTCATCACCTGCCCTCTAGCCACGCCCTACCATCATATCCCCATGACATGTCTTCCACACCCTCATCCCCGTCATACCCTAACGATAGGTCCTCCCTTCACGCCCCCATAACGTACCCTCATGATGTCCCCTTCACCCCTTCCATGACTTCCTTCTCGCGGGAGGAGGACCTGCTTCCTTTTCCTTACAGCCACCACCTTTCCACCACAACTCTGCCCAAGTCCTATTCTCGAGATCTCGCCTCGCTATCCTATGCTCAGGGTAATCCTGCTCGCTCTTACGCCCATCACCGACTTAGCCTGAGGAATGATCTCATGCCTATAGAACGGGGCGCCCCCTCGGTATCGTCCTCCCGGCGCGGGTCGATGTCTTTAGCAGCAACCAGTCCAGAGAGAGAGTCGCCTCTGGGTCCACTGGTCAGTCCCCTCTGTAGGCCTGACGACTTCACCTCCAGCCAGCGAGAAAGCTCGGTGTAGTCCCCATTGACGAGGCCTCAGTCTTGTCGGGTGCTAAATATCCACCATTTGTGGCTTGAAGGTGAGTACTGATCCCAGCCCAGCCAGCCACAACACCTTATGTTAAGGTAGGTAAATGGGGCAAAAGTGCAACTAATGAAATTTTGTGGCGACGTTTCGCTCTCCAGGGGCTTTGTCAAGCCGTTACAAACAACACAGGGATACAGAGGTTACATGTAAACATAGAGTGAAATACAAGCATAGTGTAATGGTTGTAGGTAGTAGTGGTAGTTGTAATATTTGTGGTAGTTGTAGTAGCAGTAGTAGTAGTAGTAGTAGTTGTAGTAGTAGTAGTAGTAGTAGTAGTAGTAGTTGTAGTAGTAGTAGTAGTAGTAGTAGTAGTAGTAGTAGTAGTAGTAGTAGTAGTACTGGTAGAAGTTAAAATGTCACATTAGTTGCACTTGTGTCCTTTTACTTAACATATTGTCGATAATTCTACGAATATTCTTACACGTCACGTCCAGCTGAGATGAAACTGCCAAGCATCTCACTACATTGTTACTCGTTCAGTCGAACATTTCACCCTTCACAAGGAATCGATCTTGGGATCTGCATAAAAGTTTTTAATCAGAACCAGCAAAAATGAGCGAATTTAAATTAAAAAAAAAATCCTTATCAGAACTGTTGAGCGGATTAGACAGGTAAAGATCCGGAGTGACGTGGCGCAGCGCACGTCACTCCGGCTGAGCGAACTGCGCTCAGCCGGAATTTATTACAACGTTAATTCTTAATTTCTCGTGTCTTATAGCCTTAAATTTGCATTTCCTTGCTTAGCATGCAAATTTCATGGATGAAATTCATATCCATTATATAATAGTAATATCTCTGCCAAATTCTGTCTACTGCCTTATGGGTCAGAGTTGAACTGTCATGTGCTTCTGATGACATGAATTTCCCCTTTTTTATATATATATATAAATAGTTAATCAGTTGATTGTTAATTTTACTCTTTTTTTTTATCTTTGTTTAGAAAAAGCTTTAGGCCGCCTTGATAATGTAGGCCTAAGGCTCTAGGAGTCAGAAGCTGCAGTAGCTAACAGCTGCACCAGTCTTCAGGAACCAGGAGCTGTAGAAGTCTCCAGGAGTTAGCAGCTGAAGCATTCTACAAGGAGCAGGAACCGCAGCTGAGTCCAGAGATCAGGAGCAGCAGCAATTTTCCAGAGCTCAAGATACTGCAGCAGTCTTCTGGGACCAGGAGCTACAGCATTCTCCAGGGACCAGAAGCTGAGGCATTCTCCATTGCATGGAATGCAGTGGCAGCAGTTTCCCAAGGCGAGAGGCTTCAACAGAGCCCAGCAAGCAGCTAGAGCAGTCTGCAAAGCCGTCGGCGGTAAGAAATCTTCAGCGATGAACAGGTGCAATAATGTCAAGTGACCAGCATTTGGGGATGTTTTGAGAATATCGCAGTTGTATCAGTCGTCTCTATGATATAGCAGCTGTATCATCGACAGGCCAGAAGCTACAGCCTCCACGCAGCTGCAGCCTATGTTGATCAACAGCTGCATCAGTATCCAAGGTTAACAAATCTAGAAATGAACAAGCATCAGCAGTTGCAACAATGTCCTAAGACCAGTAATTGAAAGTCTCCGGGAAGCAGCTGATACAACAATCCGCGGAGGCTAGCAGCTGCAGGAGACTCCGAGCATGATGGCAGTGTGCAAGGATAACCATCTGTAGCAGCATGTAAGGATAAAGCAATGCAGGAATCTCAAGCAATGAGGAGGACGAAGTTGCATGCAGTGGTCTTCTATGATAATCATGTGCAGCAACCTTCAGGGACCAGCGTCAGCGTCTACAGTGACAAAACAGCCTCGATGGATCATAAGTTGCAGGAACCTCCAAGATCATGCAGTAAATTGTAGCATCCTCCGCCATGAAGGTACTTGCTGTCCATTAGCAGAGACGGCGGAACCTCCACGACCCCTCGAGTACTTCTCATAATTCCTTCCCACGTCACTGAAGAGGGTCACACGAAAAAATATTACTCACATTAAAAATTCCCAATATTTTGTTAACATACAAATAATTTAACTAATGCGCTAGTATGCAGTCCGAGTGAGTAGGCTGAGGCTACTTTAGAAAAGTATGGCTGCACTTACAATTAAGTTTCACGTTCCCTTGAATAAATAAGTGATAAACATTTACAGAGAAATATTTTAAGTACGCACAAGAAAATAACTCATATGACTATTTTGTACCAGGACAAACGAGTTATGTGGATGTTCCATGAACACGTTGTGAAATTAAGGGAAATATTTCTTGGGAAATATAGCCTCCTCATAATGAGGAAATAACCTTGACGGTGATGAGGGATGATCCCTGATGAGTGTTACTGAAGATGTGAGGTGATTCCTACCTGCTGAGGTGACGAGTTTACCACAGATTGGTAAACTGGGCGTGGTGTGTAGCAGAAACTGTCTTAAGCCCTGACGGAGAGTCTTAACTGTTGCTTTACGACTGTCTCGAATGACAGTCATCTGTCATTGATGTCTTCTGTCTGTGTGTCTGTCTCTTCATCTCATTCCCTTCATTTCCCTCTGTCTTTCGTTCTTTTTCGATTATACAATAATTGT